TCTTCCTCCCTCTCCTGGCGCAGCTCTTGTTCCCTGCGGAACTTCCTGTCGCGCTCCTGGCGGCGCAGCTGCTCTTCCCTCTCCTGACGGAGCGGTTCCTCCTGTCGGAACTTCCGGTCCTGCTCCTGGCGGCGCAGCTGCTCTTCCCTCTCCTGACGGAGCGGCTCCTCCTGTCGGAACTGTCGGTCCTGCTCCTGGCGGCGCAGCGGCTCTTCCTCCCTCTCCTGGCGCAGCTCTTGTTCTTCCCGTCGGAACTTCCTGCCGCGCTCCTGGCGGCGCAGCTGCTCTTCCTCCTGGAGTTCTCGGTCTTGTTCTTGGCGACGCAGCTGCTGTCGTTCCAGCTCCTCCTCTCGGGCCTCTCTCTCCTGCGGGCGTCTTCGGTCTCTTCCCAGTTCCCGCAGCGGCTCCCCGCGCCGCAGCTCCTGCTCCCCGCGCGGCAGCCGCTCTTCCTCGCGCTGCTGCTCCCGCCGGCCGGGCTGGGCGTAGAGCACCTGCCGGCGCCCCCGGCTTTCTTCCTCAAGTTGCCACCTCCAGCCTCGGTCGCGGCGGGGCTCCTCCTCGTCGCCGTAGAACCGTTGTTGTGGCTCCAGGCGCTCCTCCTCCGCCTGCCGCTGCCAGGTGAAGTCGCGGCGCCGCTCCTCCTCCTGCTCCAGCCGCCGCCTGCTCTCTTCCTGCTGTTCCTGGCGGAACCTCTGCTCCTCCTGCCTGCGGGGCCGGGCGTAGACCTTGCTCTGACGGGCTTCTGCCTCGCTCTCTAGCTGCCGCTGCCACCTCTGGGCGCGGGTCTCGTCCCGCCGCGCCTCGCCCACCTGCCTCTCCTGCTCCAGCCTCTCCTCCTCCTGCTCGCGCCGCTGCAGCTGCCTCGCCTCCGGCTCCCGCCGCAGCTCCGCTTGCTGCTCGCGTCTGGGCTCTTCGCGCCGGTACGGTTCCCTTTCCCCGGCGTACTCTAAGGCGTCGCGACCCTTGCGCCTCAGCTGCTCTTCCTCGGCCCGGCGCTCTTCCCGCACTTGTCTTTCTCGTCCCTGCAGGCGCTGGCTGCCGAGCTGCTCCAGCCTCTCCTGCTTGTTCCTCTGCTCCTCTTCCTCAGCGCGCTCCCTCTCCCGCTCTTGACTCTTCTGCCAGCTTCGGCGGCTGGGTTGTTCTTCGTCGACTTGTCTGTCGCGCGTCTCGAATCTTCTTTGGTCTTCTTGCCTGCGATCTTGTAACAGGTCTCCTTTCCCCTCGCGCTGGACTCGCTTCTCCTCCTCTAGCCCCACAACCTGGCCGAGGGCGTAATAACAGGCTTGAGCCGCCTTGAAAAGGAACAGGAGGAATTCATTGAAATCCACACGGTTGTTGGCATCGCGATCCAGAAGTTCCAGAATCAGATCTACTGTCTCGGGGTCATGTGGTCTCTGTGAAAAGATTAAAACAACAGCAAAGATTTTACATTATACCACTGGCAGGTAGTAAAATTTCACCCTCATACTTATTTTAAGCTATGCTGACACTTGAGACATTCAGAACAATTACAAAAATGCCCAGTATGGGTGCTTTTGTTCCCCTTGTAATATGTGAACCTCACTTCAAAGCATGCATTTGTTGGGAAGGTTTGCATATTGTAATTTAGTACTGGGAGATTAAGAATAAACTCATCCTTAAGAGATAACACCGAAACTTTATGAAGATTTTCAGCAGTTATTTCTACCCAAAATAACCTGTACTCCAGATTTGATTTCTATTCCATGTTTGAAATGGAGATTTTGGTGTTTTTTTGGGGGGGGGAAGCAGCATTATTTTAGTATAGAACAGGCTGATTTCAATTCTTGAAATTTAGAAGCAAATTTAAGTCCCTTGAATTTAATTTGATTTAACATCTTTGGTGGTAACGGCTCATGAACAATTCGTTCCCATGGCAGTTCCATCAAGCACATGAAATAGTTGCTAGCAACTTCTTTAATACTCAGACTGCAATGCCAATGATGTACCTTCAGATTCAGAAATGAATCTGTAGTGTACACCTGCCATGTTGTAAAATGAGAACAGGTCCCCATTCCTTGCTCTAGTCTCTCATGAGAAGAAAATTCATATTTCTAAATTCATAGAGATTTCTTTGCTAGTTTTTTTTTTTACCTGAAGGACAGCTCCAAATTCCTGTTCAAGGAGGTTCTTTAGGTCTTTCTTGCTTAGTGATGCCCCATCATAATCATGTGAGGCATATTGATAGAAAACTTCAGTGATGTCACAGATGCTTTTCAGAAGTGGAGACATTTTTTTTCTTTTCTTCAAGTTCAAGTAAACCTAGAACAATAAAATATGATCCTGAAAAAAAGTTCTGCTTTTGAAAAGGTTTCATTCGTATATATTAGGTAGATCTCTAAATATATTGGATTTTTCAGCAGCATTTTCAGCCTGAGATCTTAGAGCATTTTATTTTTAAATGCTATATTCAGGAAGGGAAGAGAGATTCTGAAATTTTTAATCAGGAAGTCATCTTCAGACTTCCCCTGTTCCCTGTAGTCATCTTTTCATCATCTAACCTGGTTTATCTATTCTTTCATTTTCTGTTTCCAGCTCTTCAGTGCATTGACATCGAGAGAGAGAGAGAGAGAGAGAGAGAGAGAGAAGGAATTTAAGTTGGATACATTGCTACTCAGAAGCAGTTTCTTCTAGACTTAACCAAAGAAGGTAGGTGAGGGCCAAAAGGTGAAGGAAGTCTTGAGAACAGCTTAAAGTAGATAGCTAATGGTGCCAGCAAAACATGTGGCAGCAATTAGAACACTGAAAAGGGAACATGAATTATTCCCCAAATCTATAGCCATAGGAGATCTAGGAATATAATTCATAAGTCACAAATTATAAGATTGTATATTTCTTTTTTTAACTATTTTTTCTGTCTTTTCTTTTTTGGTACTGGGGATCGAACCCAGGACACTGCATTTACTAGCCAAATACTTTGCCACTGAGCTACATCCCAGCCTGATTGTATATATCTTTCTGGTCAAAAGATAGCATTGTAACATTCAGACACAATATAGAAAGCATAGTACATATTACCAGTCCTAACTCAGATGTATTATAGATACTCACATATTTAACTATTGAAAGATAGAGAGAGAGAGATCCTCCCTGATTGGCTACCAGAATCAATGGGCCAAATTGAACCTGGAGAACCGTAAATGATAGTGGGCTTATGGCTCATCTTTGTTAAACCTAAATAAACCATTTGAATCTGGCACATTAAAAACATGAGGGCTAGGAATATATGGCTTGTCTAGCATGTGTAAGGCTCTGGGTTCAATCTCCAGCATGGCAAAAAACTACACAAAAAGTTATCTAGGAGCAAATCAGTGTTAAGAGAAGACATGGATGACTTTGCTAGTTGGATGTGAATAGATGTCTCATCAAAGTGACATCTTTTCCAAATGTCAACTGTATCACTTTAGATGCCATAACTGTATGAAGATGTCAAAATTAGGTAGAACATATGAAAAGAGACCAGAGACCAGTTTTTAGAAAGCTGAATCCCATCATCTCTTAATGTGCAAGAGTATTGGTTCAGAGAGAAAGACCATGTCCTCACTCAAGCAGTGGCTCCAGCCATAAGAAGATGAGATAGAATAAATGAGAGCTAGCTAACACTGTAGGATATAGATCCCTTTGGCACATGGAACCAGGCCCCACAGACAGAGAAGGGAAGACTGATACCGAAGAATGTGATCCTGTAGAATGGGACTTACCCACTTCACCAGAGGAAGAAGTCGAGTGCTCGCTGACACTGCTGGCAAGTGTACTGGGTAACTGAGAGCTGGGCCTTTTATAGGAGTTTTAATTGTGCCCTGGAGAGCAACTTGGGAAGGAGACACCCACTCTGTGGGATGTCCTGATTCATTCCAACCCCAGCTCCACCTCAGTCTCCACAAATGGCTTGTTTATCTCACTATTTGCTCACGTAGCTATTTGGCACGAGGTTCACAGTCCTTGCCTCTTGACAGTTAGGGTGCTGACCCCACCTAACATGAAAGGGTAGAATATTTGGCAGACTTTCTAATTTTCTTTAATTGTTAAAATTAAACAATAAAACAAAAGTTAAATATTCCAAATCTTGATTGATTATTACTTTATTACAAAGGAATAACTTCTAAGCCATTTAGTTTATGAAAGATAGAAACTCTTTTAAGTTGGGATTAAACAGGAACTGTGACAAAAAGTGATGAGAGCCAATTAATTTCTCCACACTGTGTCCCATCTATGAGGAAACCCTGCCTGAAACAATTCTAGGACAATGAGAGAGGTGTAAGGAACTGTTGTTTCTTCTCTAGAAATGTAAGTGTGGAAACATTTCACATTTATTTTCATAGATTTTATGCTGATGGTTTTCCTCTAGATTGGGAACTACCTCCTAATAATTTTGAAGGATACCTTAAAATACATTTTATTAAACTGTTCATAAGAAAACATCATAGATACTAGATCTAACTGAAGTTTGCCCATTTATTTCCTCATTAACATATTGAAGCCCCTGGAGAAAAAGAGCTAGTGTAATGCATTATTGTAGATATAATCATCTTGCTCAGCCTAAGTTACTAATGATTATGACATTTAAACACTTGAGTCTGCTTCTCTGAGAAGCACATTAGAGTAATCGGTTTTCTAAGCCCATTATAACCATCATGACTTTCTCAACTCTGACCATCATTTGCAAAGCTCAGTGCTGTTTTATGGAAAGGAACTGAGTTTTATCCCTCTTTGTCAGTGACTCCTGTCCTTCAAGACTATATGAAACTTTGGTTCATTATAGGTTTATGGAGACAGTTAAATGATTCAGTGGCTTCTCTGCATTTCTGTCTCCATTGTCTAACAAAGGCAAGTATGGGTCTTCTAAATTTTGAGAATTTAGGATTCTTCAGTGGCATAAAGAAAATACGGAACTTAAATCGTGAGGGCTATTTCTTTATGTGAAGCTCCATCCAAATGATCATGGAGTTGAATTCTTTAGCCCTGTCCACTTGCTGCCATCCCAGTAGGAAGGTAAGAAGGTGGAAGCAACAGGGTATAGGAAGATAGTCATAAATCTGGATCATTTCTGCCTCCTAATGGCTTTAGTAGTGAAGTCTATGATTTTGAATTTGTCCTAAAACAACTCATTATTTCTCAGGCTCTGAGTTGATGTGGCTTCTCCTTAGTGAAAAATGAAGGCTTCTATTTTTCCTTTGGTTTAGAGTCTAATTCTCTAAATCTTTGGACCATCTTGAACAATCTATACCCACCATCACTGCAGAACTCCTTAGCCTGTGTGTGTTTGTTCTGAACCCAGAGCCTTGTACTTGCTAGCCAATGCTTTACCATTTGAGCCATAGCCTCATCCCTTTTTGCTTTAGTTATCTTTTGGACACTGTCATCTTTTGCCCAGGCCAGTGTGTATTTTGATCCTCCTACTTACACCTCCAATATAGCTAGGATTATAGATATGAACCACCACATTCAGCTTTTGGTTAAGATGGGAATCTCTTTTTTTTTTTTTTTTTGCTGGGGCTAACATTGAACCTTGATTCTATTGATCTCTGCATCCCAAGTAGCTAGGAGTATAGGCACGAGCCATCACACCTGGTCTTGGCTTTAGCCTTCTGTCTGTTCCTTTGAAAGGATTCTCCAGACAAACACTCTCTGGAGGAATTTTCTTCTCCCTCCCTTCCCCCTTTCTTCCTCTTCTCCTTCTCTCCCTTCCCCTCCCCGTCTTTTTTTTTTTTTTTTTAAGACAGAACCTCACTTATGTAGTCCAGGTGGTTTTAAATTTGCGGTCCTTCTGCTTGTACGTTGCTTCTGTTTTTATCCACTTATGTGTAATATTTTGGGGTTCTCTGAATTGTTTGGTCTTGAATTTACTAATCTTATGTTCTCTCTTGCTAAAATCAGTATAGCATAGATAACAGTATTCATAAACCCCCTGCAAACCTCAGAAAATTTGACCTCTCTTTTTTTCCTGAAAATAGGGCCATCTGTAAAATCAGGTTACCAAACATCTTTTAATGAAATGGCCCTTACTGTTAAATAGTGATCTTTGATTTTTATAGTAGATCATTATTTAAAGGTTATTTTAGTAGGCATCCATGACAGAAACAATTGTTTTCTAGTTTCTTAGTAGGTAGGAAAATGCCAGATATCATAGAAAATTATTAATTCCTCATGAATATTTGCAGTCTATTTTTATTTAAGATTAACTGGAAATGTTTGAAAGTAATAATGTTTTGGTTGAGGGTAAAGCTCAGCGGTAGAGCATTTGTCCAATATTTGCAAGGCCCTGAATTTGATTCCTACTACTGCACACACACAAAGGAAAAGGCCTGTATTTATAGCACTGAGGGGGCCAAGTCTGGAGAATCATACATTTGGAACTAGACTAGGATATAGAATAAATTCCAGACCAACCTCAGATACATGGGAGAACTTGGTTCAGAAAAGGAAAAAAAAACCCAGAAAAGATGGTGTTTTTATAAGTTGAAGATCTCCGTTTTCATATAGACAAAGTTTAATTATCTTTATTTTTTAAAGACTGGAGACAGAGATTCTAGGAGGTCAAAGGACTTGTCCAGGAAGAGCCAGGTGCCCTTCTCTATTTCTACACTAATGTCTTCTTCCTCTTCCTCTTCCTCCTCTTCTTCTTTCCTCCTCCTCCTGCTCTTCCTTTCTTCTTCTTCCCCCTCCTCTTCTTCTTTCTTTCTTCTTCTCCTTCTCCTCCTCCTTTTCTTCTTCCCTCCCTCCCTCCCTCCCTCCCTCTCACTCTCTCTTTCTTTCTTTCTTTCTGATACTAGAATTTGAATGTTTGTTCCCTTAGCTTGTTTGCTTGGTAGGCAATCTATCACTTAAACCAGGCCTCCAGCTTAGCCTTTTCATTTTAGTCTGGCTTTTTTGCTGGTTATTTTTGAGACAGTTTCACAGTCTTTTCTGCCTGGGATGACTTAAATTTCATTCCTTTGGATCTTAGCCTTTTGCATAGCTAGGATTACAGGTATGAGCCACCAGTTCCCACCTACATATTCTTTATCAGTGACTCCAGAACATATCTATGTTATACTGGTAACTTGCTTTGAGATTCTGATTCTTTTATGACAGAGAAACTGAAAAAAAGAAAATAAAATGTTAATTATTCACCTAATGTAACATCTTTAACTACTTAACATCACACGATTGACCTAGTGCTGAAATCCTTGGAGGTGGGATTCTGATAGATTAATAAATAAAGAACTGAGGGAGGCTGGGAAGTTGGCTCA